GAAGGAGCAGGTCTCTTTGCAAATAGGATGGATGAAGAGCCAGCAGGCTAAGGATTTTCTTGTCTGTTAACTGGATAAAACATGCCTCTAAATTTCTGTCCTGGACTATGAAGTGACTGTGACAGTCAAGTGGCAATGTCAGGTTTTGCGTGTATAGAATGGATGAAGGTTGTGAATAAGAAAACTTTGAAGTGCATCACACTTCAGAAGCAACTATGAAAACCACCTTGCATTTTTGTTGCTACATCTTTTTTCACTGCTTCTCTCTAGACTCTTAATTTACAGATGTGGGGAACTGTCTTTTTAAGAAAAAAGTTGATGCTCTGGATACAAATAGCTGAAGCTGAAGGCCTTGCTCTAGGTTGATGTTATTCTGATTGTTAGTAACTCTGCCCCAAAGAGCCCTTGGAACTCTGAACCATCTGGTGTTTGTTTCAAATATCAAAATGTACACCTAGAGCTCCATCGAAATGCAATTTCAGATGCGTTCTCACCTTTCTTTTGGTAGGTCACGAAGTTAACTGTCCGAACTCTGAATGTGTCTGGGACACTTGGATATACTTGGAATAGGATGGAAAACGCTTAGCTACACTCTGAATAAAGCAGAACCAGTTGTTTGAAGGCTGAGCAGCATAATGTGCCCTTGTTTTCTTCCTTGCCTATTCACATTATTGGACTTCTGTTTAAAAAGTTTGCTCAGCTGTTTTTAAATGGTCTTCTGTCTGGTTATCTGTTCTCCTTTGTGGTGCTTATGGTACGACTTTTGTTCTATTTTAAATGTTTGAAATATTTCTCTCTGGCAAGTACATTGCGGTTGTCTCTTGCTGGAATTTTACGGACAAAGAAAGAAAAAACATAGGCGGCTAATGCGGATCACATCTTCTGAGGAACCAACTGTAAGATGAAATCTCTTTCCTTTTCCTGGTCAAACTGAGAAGCAGGCCAGTGAAGCTTATCACATCCCAGGCATCTGAGCAGCGATATTTCTCCTGAGTTTGTTTTCCAGCACTTGACTTGAAATGTCATGCCTTAAAATGGCATGTATTCTCCTCTCCCTGGTTGTAAGAATACAGTATGCTCAAACTGTTCAGGGGCCCAATTTTAATTACTTTTCTTACCCAATTATGCATAACAAGACTGTGACAAAAAACAGCAGCTAGGTTTTGGGGGGGGGGGGCATTAGCATAGATGAGAAATGTTGCTTCTTACTGCCTTGTGCCTGCTGACCTTTATCAGTGTCTTAGCTTTTGTGGTATGGTTAGCGTTGTCTCTGCTTCACCACCATGCATGCTACTCTTTAGCTTAAAGTTAATTTGAATGTAAAGATACGTGTTTATGATCCATCTAGTGATGTGGGTTAGAAACCATGTATAACTGGTGAGAAATCAGCTAGAGGCAGTATCGGGAGTCCTCAAAACATGCTAGCTCTTGACATACTCATTTAGCACGTGTTCTGCAGTGCGATGCTTTTCCCCTCTACCTGGCTTGAGTGTAGCAATTTGAACGCTGCAGGGAGATTGAGCTTTTGGCAATGCTTGCAGATGCTTGGTGTTTCATTGTCTCTGATCAGTTGCTTATAGAAGATTCTGGCATTTAAACCACACGATGGGCCCTTTTGTCCCAAAGCCAGAAACTGCTTCTCAAACAAATGGAAAGCTTCAAATTCTGGATTTTCAACTTGCACAAATCCGGATTGTTTCAGTGTTGCGCTCTGGAGTGCTTGCTGCTTTGGTCCTAGGGATGTTATCAGCCAGGCTTATTTCCTTAGAAATCTGTCTGTTCCTGGTAACATTGAGCTGCTGATTTTTTTTATTTAGGGAACCACACAGATGAAGAATGTTACATCTTGTCTGGGCTTAATGCATGGGATCATATTCTGTAGTTTCCTCTGTTAACGGGCAGACATTGAAGTATCTGCTAGAAGCATCCGAGTGCCCCTGCAATACATGGAGCAGAAACATTTGCGGGATGAATCCAAAGGTAGACAGAGCTTTCTCAGATGATTTATCCCTAGGATAATCTTTACAGCAGTTGGCTCACAGCTGTAGAGAAACATTCCTGTATTGCACCCCCACAAAGGATGTCTTCACCAGCAAGAAAACATGTATCACTGTGCATCCCAGCACCACACTCACCCTAAAGCTGTGTGGTTGGTCCCTGCAGGGAAGAAGGGAAAGGTAGAGAACATCTTTAAGGTAATAGGAGCCTTTTACTGGCAGTTTTACACATAAGTTGTGAAGAGAGATGCTCAAAACACTTAAAACATTTGCAAACTTACGCAGCGGTTGGAGTGAGCCCCAAGACCTGCTTGTGGGTGTGATCTCAGTTTTGATACTTTTTAATTCAATTTAAGTTTTGGCTGTAACAATAACGAAAAGGTCTTTCTAGTTTGCCTAACCTAATGTTTACAGGGCAAAAGAGATTGAGTGACACCAAAGGTGGTGAGGAATGGCCAAATCCCCAACAGCCTGGGCTTTGATCATGAGTTCTCTGTGCTACCATACTTCTCCTGTAGCTTGATACTGTAGCTGCAGCCAGCGGAGGTAGCTTAGATCCTCTGAATCCAGAGAAAGTGTCGGGGACAACTTGGGCACACTCAGCTTTTCTGATGAGAGGAAGTGTTGTCTCTTCAGAACACTTAACAAAGCGTTTGCTTGTTTTAAGGGATCCCTTACAGGATGTTTGAACTCAGTCCTTGTTACCATCTGCAGCTAATGATAGCAAGTTATACTAGCATTCCATTAGTGTATTAACATGTTTAAATAAGATTCTTTTCCTGGAACTTCCACAGTATAATCTTTAAAAAAATAAAAAATTGAACCTTCTGCTTTATTCATCTTAGGTACTGTGTGGTAAGCTCTGCCATTTAATTCTGGGTATCAGAGTGCTTTTCTGTTTAAACTGATTGCTGTTCCATTGCTGATGGAACAGCCCTTTTGACTTTGTACAGGATCGATTGTCCACTTTCCTTAGTGTGGACTACTGTCAGCTTTGAGCTCCCTTGTAGGCTGTTGCACAGTTAACTGAGAATCACTGGGCTTTGCTTGTGTGCTTGCCCTAAACCACAGCAGTGAGCCAAGCGGGGTAATCCTGGTAGGACTGAGTCCCACAGCTCTCTAAGAAATGGCCTGGCTGCTGCACCTCTCGCACCACTGTCCCAGAAGGCTACACCAAGTGTATTGTGTCCTCTCTAGTGCTAGAGTGTTCTCTACAGGAAAGTGTTTAATACTAGCAAGAGATAAAAGGAGCCTTTTGTCAAATGCAGACTTCTAGGTCTGTAGGGCGTTTCATTTCGTCTCGAGGGTCGGTGTGTTCCCTCAGTTCCCCTGTCTGGGATCTCCCTGTTGTCCCCTAGGATGCAGAAGACAGCGTTAAATGCTGACCTGTCATCCTGCTGGGACTAGGCAGCTGGGAACACTGGGGCACTACTTTCTCATCTAATGCCAGTGCATCAAAACAAGTATCAGAATAAATGGAAATGACTCGTTGATCCTGATTTGCTTTAAAATTTCAAATGGTACCTATCAGATACTGTCTAGCTAGTCCTTATAAATGAATCTTTAAGGACTAATTTGAAAGTGAAATTCTATGTTGGGAGGCTGAAAAAAACTCTGTTACTATGTCAGTTTTGTGGACCCTAGTGGCTCTTTTCCCAACAGCTCTGCTATCCTGTACCTCTCCTCTTGCACCCTTGTTTCAAGAATACAGGAGGTACTGAGAGCAACTGTTGGGAGCAGTGGCATATCTCCCTTAGCGCATTGCGTCGTGGAATGGAAGAGGGAGCTGAAAGAGGAAGGAAAAGCTTTCCCCCCCCGCCCCTGTCAAGCTTTGTGTGTTTGCATAGAGCTGCATGTTGAAATTAAGAGAGCTGCCACCACGAGGGAAGGCTGATAACTTTGCATTTGTGCTCATCAGTTAGTTGCTGCTCTGTGAATCTTGGAAAGGAGGAGGTGCTGTGGGATGTTGCAGCCTCCCCACAAGGTGGTGGTACTGCTCCAGGCAGAGCTTCGCCTCCCTCCTCAGACACCAGTGAGCTCCATCCCCTGGCACCAAGTGTGAAGATGTTACTTCCCTCTTGTGAATTCCTGAGGAAGGGCCTGCTACTTCTGTGTACCTGTGCCGGGCAGGTGGGCTGCAGCTGAGAGAGGAAAAAACCTGGGACACCACCCAGGGCTGCAGTAGCACAAAATGCATATTAGCACAGGGTTATATACATTAAGCTGTGCTGTAAGCAACAAGCTATTCCCATGGCTTCCCAGTAATCTGTGACCATAGGGTCTGCTTTCCCATGTTCCTCTTTTCTTAGGAGGATGAGGGCAGCATAGTTAGAAATCGTCATGAAAGCCGCAGTCCTTTGTCATCTCCTAAAACATCATGTGCTAATGCTACCCTGCATATGCTTTCCTCAGAAATTATCCCTCCTCAGCATCACGTGTTACTAAACCCT